ATCCACAGATTTTAAAATTTGTTCTTTTCAGGCTTAATTTAGTTTCTTCATAAAACTAAGGCCAAAATCAATTTTAAAATTTTAAAATCGATTTTGATTTACTCTAATGAATATTATGAATATTCTGCCTGTTTATGATGCTGAAAATACAATTAATGTGAATTACAGATTAATTTTCCTTGATATCTCAACTATGCCAGTGCTTTAGTCATAAAATCCTGAGCACTTAATTTATCCTGCATTTACTTTACAGATGTAGTCTCTTTTAGCAGCACAGATGGAGGTTTCGATAAAGCTCTTCTTAGAAGAAGGAAATCGGCTAGATAAACTAAAAATATTATGCTTCTGGCACTCAACGTATTCTGATAAATTTTGTCTTAACTGACATAACACAGTCATATTATTGAGCTACGTGAATATCTTTATGATTCAAACACCAGGAAAAATCCTTGCTAAACATAACCCGTGGATGTTTCTTTCATCGGGCCCCAATACTCTTTAGGCCTGAAACGCTGTTGATATGTGTCATGCACAAATACCATTTTGAAATTGAAATTGAGAGAAATGGCTTTTTTTTGTCTTGGAGTTTGTAACAGATTTCTTAGGAGTTAGTACCACTCCTACCATTTAATTCCCTGTATATTTTCTTCTATTTTTATTGAGGCTGTCTTTAAAATTTCATCATACATGTTCAATAAAATAATGGGCTCTGGCCATAGCGATGAGGCACCTTCCGGTTTTCCTCTCCCTAAACTTGACAGACTGCCTATCCTCAGACACAGTTCTTAAGTAATTATGCAATTAAGTAATAAAAGTAGTGTTTAAAAATGAGAAAGAAATATTATGGGTTGATGGGTAGGGCACTAATTGTCTAGAAATACTCTGAGCTTTCCAAATGAAGCTCCTTCACCCATAAAATTCAAGTCCACAACCTGTGGCCCTCCCTCCCCAACTGAATTTCTCCCTTCAGTTTACAGTGGCACAGACAGATGGCCTTGGTGTCGGGCCATCAACTCTTCCTTGCACAGCATTAATCCCTAGGAAATGTCCTGTGACTCCGCTGCTATGGTTGAAATGTCAGCTCAACTTTTAGACACACACACACACACACACACACACACACACACACACACACACACACGAATATATGGTAGCTCAAGATTCAGAAGTAACCAAAGCTGAGGTTTCTGTAAAGGCTTGCTTTTTTCTTCTCTGACATAGAGCACATGACTAATCAGAAAAACCCCACCGAAAGCCAAGATTTTTTTGGCTATGATAGAATTACCTGCCTATGACTTCTAAATTAAAAAAAAAAAAAAACAGAGAAAGGCAGTTTTAGCAAATTGAATTTTTGAAGAAACATGGCAAAATTTATAACTAAAAATAATCTATAGTACAATGATAACTTCTTGATCCGTTGATCAATATACAATAATCTAAAAATCACATGTGTTTATTAAAGGGACAGAGGATGGATGATGTAGATGAATGTTTGACTAATCTATAGAAAATGTGAATGAACATAGCTGGCATCCATAAGGTAAAGATACAGTCCAATCAAAATACGATCTTATTAAGACATTTCCCATGTTGTGATTAAAAGAAAATATCTAAATCCCAAAATGTTTCACCTATTTATTTATAATAGAGAAAATTATAACTATTAAAGAATTCAGTTAAAATTATTCCTGCAAATGTTACATCATCTTGAATAAAATTGAAATATTTAAAAATAAATTATTTTCATAAATAATTACTTTGTAAATCTAAGGGCACTCTTAAATAAAAGGTAAAATCTGGACAGAATATCTAATCAAATCACTAAACTCATGATAAATATGCACTATAATTCCCTTTGTCCCAAGATACTAAAAAATATCTTTAATTAAAAATTAGAAACTCTTAAATAATCAATAACTAACATAATCAATTATTTCTTGTTCCAGTAACATTAGAGGGAGAATACCAAGCAGATCAACTTTTTATGCTGTTCAACTTTGTGAACTCTGAAGACTTTCTGTTTTATTCATTACCTTCCCAAAGTTAAATAATTTTAATTTTGAAGTCATTTATCATTAACAAATTTTTCTACACCTGGCTGCTAATTTTCTCTTGGGAATTTTTAAATTATGAAGTGATACAATTTTGTATTAATAATCAAGGTTACTCTTCTATATTTTTAGGGAAAACAAATGCTTTAACAACTATTAATATTTTGATGTTATTTTAGAGAGTTTTTCTATGTGCTGATTTTTAATACATTTAAAAATTCTTATAGACATCAAAGACTTTCAAACATTATTGGCAATTGATTCTTTGCTTTGACAGTCAGCCTAATTAGATTTGACTTCCTTTCTATATGTCTATGCATATCTAGGCACACCCGGACACACGTATACATCCTATTAATAACATATACTTCCTATTCTAGTTGTCTTTCCTTTTTTAAGTAGACCACAATGCCCTGCTTATTTTAATAGGGAAAGATGTAAATTTTTCTTACCTGCCCTTTAAACTACTTTCGGAAAATGTGAAGTCAGCTGAACCGAATTTAGCAATTACCTTTTAGCTGACAGAGTCTTCTGATGTGGGAATCATTCTCAGGCTTGCAGGGTTCCTGCCAGATTGTGTCATTCACTGTTTTTCTTTCTAAAATAAAGGAGAAGATTGGTTAGCAGAATTCACAGTAACAACTGTCCAGTAAGTGTAAGAAATCTGAAATCAAAACAAAATCAGCACACAGTTGTAACTTGGTAGGTGACAGGAGAGCTCTGTGGTCCATCCTGGAGAGTTCTACTGCCTGATGGACGATCCCAAGTGTCCTGTGGGCCCCCACTTATTTCCATAAACTACATAAGCACCCAAGCATATATGGTAGTATGCTGCTATTGAAATACCTGTTGATGGTTTGTGATTACATTATTCTTGGAAGGATTTTTTCCTGAATTAACATGTTTTTATGCTTAGTTCAAGTGTCCCCACCCTCCACATTCCTCATCATTTATAACAAAAAGATCAAGTGTGTGGAGAGAACACTAGCTGTGATGGTTTCAAGAAACTCTCAAGTCTTGAGTGGAAGAATGATGACTTATTTGGTCTTGTCCTCCCACCACCTAGAGCAGGGCCTGGATGTGCAGTGAAGAACTGAACTGTGCTAACATGAAGAATTAGAATCGCTTCTCATCTCCTCACCAAAGATGATCATTCCACATGTCATGTCATCGTACTGATCAAGCAAATGTGAGATAACACACCCAAAACATCACATGGAAACAAAGTCAGCACACCTGTGCTGTTTTTAAAGACACTATTTACTCTCATATTTGACTACAGGAAGGCAGTCGAGCATCAAGAATTATGTTAGGATGGAAATCTCTATAGCCTTGTGTTTACAAACTGCATAGCAGGTTATGAGAATAAATCTAGATGGAAAATAAAATTTTGCCTTATTTCCTTATATTTAAGACTATAGATTATTTAAATCAGGGCTGATATTCAAAATATTTAACAACTCGTTGCCCACAGGGCCTTGATTAGTGAGATAGGACACAACTCTGTGGCTGCTGCCACCTGAAGAATATCAGACCTGATTAAAATGCAGGCACCCTTGGAAGATGCATCCATTGATGATCCTCACCTTGGTCTGAATGAGCTTTTCAGATCTACCCAGGAGACTGGTTTTTGAAAAGACAGAGAAAGGAGTTTGAGCATCCAACTCCTAGACTCTACTGGGGAGAAAGGGCACTCACAAGTTTAACAAACTTCATGAAAAATAAATTATTGCCTGGGTGCCTGGGTGGCTCAGTCGGTTAAGCGTCTGCCATCAGCTCAGGTCATGAGCTCGGGGTCCTGGGATCAAGCCCCACACTGGGCTCCCTGCTCAGTGGGGAGTCTGCTTCTCCCTCTCCCTGTGCCCCTCCCCCCCAACTTGTGCTCTCTCTCAAATAAATAAATAAAATCTTTTAAAAAATAAAGTATTGGGCACCTGGGTGGCTCAGTTGGTTAAGCGACTGCCTTCGGCTTAGGTCATGATCCTGGAGTCCCTGGATCGAGTCCTGCATCGGGCTCCCTGCTCAGCAGGGAGTCTCCTTCTCCCTCTGACCCTCTCTCTTGTGCTCTCTCTCTCTCTCATAAATAAATAAAATCTTAAAAAAAAGAAAAAGAAAAAAATAAAAAATAAAGTATTGCCTGAATAATCCAGATTTTTTAAAGAGATTTTATTTATTTATTTGAGAGAGTCAGAGATAGTGACAGAGATCATGAGTGGGAGGAGAGGGAGAAGCAGGCTCCCCGCTGAGCAGGAAGCCGGACGCAGGACTAGATCCCAAGACACTGGGATCATGATTTGAGCTGAAGGCAGATGCTCAACCAACTGAGCCATCCAGGCACCCCTAATCCAGATGTTTTGCCACTGTGACTATTTTATAATTAGTGACACTATAGTCTGTAAGAGGAGAGACGTTATCCATTAGCTTTCTAAAAGTGATTAATAGAATTAGATGTTTACTTAAGAATTAAAATACAAATCAAGCCAATGGCCTTTATTATAACTACAGAAACTGTAATCACAGAAACTAAAGAAAAGTTCTGGTTTTTGAAATGCTGTGGAAGAGTCTTTTGAAATACATTTTTTATTTCTTTTTATTCACTCCTAGATTCATATATCTGAAAAGATACGGAAGAGGTCAGGTCACCTTGACCATGGCCAGCCAATCTAACGTTGGGAAGCCAGAAGATAATCAGCCAATAAACCATCAAACAGAATATTTTTAATGTAAAAGGAAATTATTCTGAATAAATCAATGATTTCTTTGTCTTAGCCATTTACAGTTAGAATGGAACCACCTTCCTTTTTAAAAAATTTCTTCTATAGAATTCAAAGACAACTCAATTTAACTTTCATTAATCAATTATTGTTGCTGTATGGAAGTGGCAGAAGAAAAGAACTTTTAGAGAAACAGAACAGATTATTTGCATGAGTAATCTTCTAAATTACTAACCAAATCCTTTGTTTTCAGACATAGATCTCTGGATTGACCTAGAAGAATAAAAGAAACATATTTATTTAAGTCTACATCTAGTAAATAATATTTTTAATCAAACAGAAATTAGATTACCTAGACATGCTTGCAATATGTTTGAGAGCAGAAATATATTCTACCTCTAACTAAGGTCTATATATAGCCCTGAATTTTCCTGATCCTAGATGGCAAAGAACAGTTAATATAAGTATAATCTTGGACTGGAAATTTCCATGCAATTTGGAGAAATGTCCATGCAACATTCATAAAACCTCCACACAAAAAAAGTGGGCCATTTTTACATGACTGTATCTCAAGATAATCAATATAGTTGATGTGGAAAAGCTCTTTTTGAAATAATTCCATTCAATAAATACAGAAAGAATGATTGAATATAATCATGTACAATCCCCAATGAAATGATAGAACTGGGCAGTAATCAACAATTGCTGTTAAAACTTTTCACTGAAAGGCTGAAGGGCAACTTTGTGCTGGATGGATCATTCTGATACCATATGAACCCACTAAGCAAGTTCACAGTCATAAAACTACAGACAACCAGATATATGAGCTTCCAAAGTAATACAACAGGAAGCCTACAGTCACTGATGACCTACTTTTAAAATATATACACATATATCAAACTTGAACATTATCAAGCCCTGAGATCTAACTAAAAAATTTACAGGAAACATAGAGGATAGAAGAACATTTTTTTTTTAATACCACAATGATGCAATCAGCAAAATTCAAAAATTTTGCCATATTATACAATTTTTCTTATTGTGTTCTAGTGCAATGTGGCACTGTGGTTATGTTTTTTTTTTAAATACAGTACTTACTTTATAGCAATATATATCAAAAAATAAAATTATGTGTCTGGGATCTGCTCTAAAAAAATGGTGGGGGTTGGAGGGCTGGTGAGTCAAATGGGTAGAAATGAAATAAGATTGACTATAGGTTGACACTTGTTCAAGCTTGGTGATGTGAGTTCATCATTATCTCCTCCTTTGCATATAATTGAAAATTTCCATAAGAAAATGTCCAAAACAGAAACAGAGGATAAGACTACACTGACTCGATCGTGTTAATTACTTTATGCACTGGGTGAACACACGCGTGTCGTGTACATATAATTAACTTTGTGGTAGCTTGACTGTTTCCCACTATTTATATTCTTGGTAGTCATTAAATCAATGCCAAGTTCACCTTTCCTTAAGTTCAGGGTTGTAAGAAAAAAATCTGTATATACAATTTCTGTCTTTACCATTTTATTGTTTTTTTTATTCGTCAATGCAAACACTTAGGACACCTCTTGGCAAAGAGTAAGTGTTCCCAAACAGCATTTATAGTATTATAAGGTGAGGTAGGTGCAGAACAGCATTAAGATGTTATTTCCTTCAGGGGAGTGGTAGACAAGAGAATTAAGGAACTCGAGAGTCTTCAATTTTATTTTAATTGGTCGTAATTGGAGGAGCACATTCACTGATTTTGAAAAATCCTAATTCAGTCAGCATCAGGTACTTTCCCTCTCATCCATTCCCCTTTGCCTCTCCATGTTTTGGTGTCCTCTGATCTATAGAAGCAACAATCATAACCCAATAGCTGTCATTTCATTTACGTATTTTATTTAGAATTCCTTATCTGTGGATGGAATGAACCGCTAATAGGCAGCTGGGTTTTTCCCACTGAGATGAGCCCTGACAAAAAACCCCTTCTTTACTCCTGTTCAGGCTTAAAATGCCACTGTTGTTGTTTAAATAGTTAACTGTGGCTAAAAGCCAACAACCCTTGTCTGCCAGTGCTCTAAGCTGTTAATCATCTAATCACCTACTTCCTATGGGTGTGTTTTATACCCTTACTGGGAGAAAGCTTTGAGCAGGAAAGGAAGGAAAGTATATGAAAGCACAGAATGCCTTGGAGGCAGGAGAGCAAGGCTGTCCAGAAAAACTCCATCCAGAGAGAATTTCACATATTAACAGTTTGGTCTCAGACCATTCCAGAGTGCAAGGAAGCTATTCCGTATCATCAGCAACCAATCTGGAAATTTCCCCATAAACCAACTTCCCACCCCTATGTATTTCCCGCTTATTAGTTAAAATCCCATTACCTTATGCAACATGTGTGTGCCCCCACATCCTCTGGCAGCTTGATGTGCTGAATGTAAAGCCAAGCCTGACCTAAATAACCCAAATCTCTTTACAAACACATTTTTATTTGGATTAGAAGAACCCTTCAGAAGATTAATATGTCACCGATAGAAGCATGTTTTCGAGTAGGCTCCCACTTTAATCTGAGCCTAGTTTGAACACGTTTCTTCTTTGGAAATTTAATTTTCACCTCCCTGTGGACAGAAATGTCACAACACAGGTTTCCTATGCATCAGCATAAACAGATAAATGGTAGCTGAGAAAAAAATATCTAGATTTGTATAATTTTTAAAAAAGCACTTTCACAGGAAAACCACTAAAATATTCCATTCAACATTATAGAACTAACAGAACATAAAGTTTTCAAAGTAAACTTGACTTACTTTCTTTTTGGTTGTGCATTCTCAAAATTAGAAACTTCCTGAAAAATAAAATACAAAATAAAATAAAATAATACTACTCCAAGAAATCAGAAGAATTCAAGTATGGTTTGTCTTCGAGGATAATCCAAATGTAGTTCATTCTGCCTCTTCCCAGTAAAATGACTGGTGTTTCCTCCCTGTATTTCAGTACTATGTCATAGAATCTCAGTTCAAGTTTGTTTATTTGTTTCTTTCTTTCTCTTTTTGTCTTTGTAACTTTGAGAGATGTAGAGTGCTTCCTTTATTAACCAGGGCTTATACCTTATTCTAAGCCCTGGTCAGTTAATAAAACAAGTCTTTTAAATAAAAACATGCAATTAAATCCTCATAACCTCAAGTTTCCATTCCCCATCAACCCACCAACACCAAGGGCAGAGATACGCACTAGAGTATGCTAATTATATCACATAGTACTTTCCTTTGAGACAATTTAATCTATCACAATATCCTGAGTGTGTCGAAATACACCTGTGATTCATCTGGCCTTTCTCTTCAGAGCAACTGAATGTTGTGTAAAATCCCTTACACTTTTCGGGGAAGACTATGTCGCCACATCTTTCACCATCCTTGAAAGAGCTAAAACTGCACCTTTAAGAACCCTTCAGATTTTCTTGTTATCATTCATCTTCTCCTTCATTCAAAACCATTTATGTTTTTGATGTTCAAAGTGCTTTTTGAACATCTACTATATCATAGGCAACAGACCATGTTGTAGAGAGGTTTGATTGGTGTGGTAGGAATTTGTATAGTAAAGAATATTGGAACCAGTATTCCACATGGGGGAAAACAGAAATGCAAAATTGGGGAAGAGTAGTGAATGAAAATCAGAAAAAGGAAAATTGGTTTTATTATACCAATGGCTGATAGTATTCGTCTGAGCACTGCCAAATCCAGGATAACTTGTCCCCTGGGAGAGTAACTGAAAGGAATCTTTCCCTAACCCTTACTGTGTTTCTGTCAAGATTTAACTCTCAAGGACAATTTAAATTACCTATTTCAAGCTGCTGAGTAGAGTGTCACTGAAAATTCCAGATGCTGAAACACTCCATCCCTGAACTTGAGGAGCAGGTTTTGCCAAGTTAAAATGCCTGGGGATCACCTGAAGGACTATGTCTGGTAGGAAACAGGTAGGAGTAGGGGTAGATACTTGGGAATCATGAAACAAACCCTGAGGTGAGGTGGGATATCAACAGACCTTTGAAGAGCTAATGGTCAGACTGACAACTCCTTCAATTCTCTATGCTTTGTCATCATGTGTCCTAAAAAATAATCCATCTCTATCCACGGTCTTTTTATGAAATTCCCTCAGTGTTGGTCTGGATGGCTCCACACCTCAGCCTGGAAGCTAACTGTGTTCGTTCACCACCATCAGCAACCACACCAGCACTGTGAGGGTCATCAGGAAAGAGGATGGCCATCCATCTTTCTAATAACACTTTCCTGTCACATATATTTGGAATTTAGCTGGGAAGGACCAAGTTCCATGTTCACGTAATCTATACAATCTGGGCCAAATATGTCTCAATAATTAGAATCCACTGTTTTGAGTCTAATGAATTGTTGTATGGATTTAGATAAATTTCTTCTGATTGCAAATCTCATGGTCCTCAAAATAGTTTCTACCTGTTTTGACTACAGAGAATGAGGTGTGTAGTCTAGAGTTAACCAATCCAAAAGGTCGACTTGCAATAAATATGAAAGATGGGAAACATTAGATATCTTTTGTATTTTTAATCATGCAAGTCACAATACTTTTGAATTAACTTATTATATCAGTAATCCATTATTTTGGTTTTTGTTTTACATGGGAAAGTTTATTTTGTGCTGCATGAAAAATGCTACCAAAGAGATTAATTCCAGAGCACTCACACAACTTGTATGCAACGGAGCTCTAAGTGTTTGAATCTGGGACAGGGGGTGTATTATTCAAGCACGGTCTCCTGCTTCAGTTGGGTGAAGCCTTTGACTAAGCTAATATAAGCAGGTATTGAGCCCATGCAAAACTGGTCAAATACGTGTGGCTGCTGATTGTGGTAAGAGGTACAGTTAGCTCTGGGCTGAGGTGAGGAGACATCTGGATCAAGACTGAAGGAATTTCCTAAGACCAGGGATAGAGATTGGTTATTTTTAGGGCATATATTGGCACAACATTCTCTAGGGACTATCAACTTTGTTCTGTTTTACTGGAATCCGGGTTATCCAATTTTTACTTATGAATCACTTTGGTTTGGGAATTTTTTGTTAAAGAGTTTTTTTGTAATGGATACATTGAAAAATATTTTGAGGGGTGCCTAGCTAGCTTAGTAGGAAGAGTACTGATCTCGGGGTTGTGAGTTCGAGCTCTGTTGGGTGTGGAGATTACTTAAATAAATAAAACTTAAAAAAAAAAAGAAAAAAATTTTGGGTTAAAACTTCTTTTAATCCCTAATAAGATATAAGAGGTAATGTAGTTTTCCTTCAGCAACCTGCTTCCTGCAAGATGGCAGAGAGAGTCAAGCACATTAAATGTGTGTCTGAAGTGTGATTATACGGGAAAGGGGATTACTCAAACAGGGCAACATCTACTTAATTAATAGTACATCTGTTCCCTGGGTGTTGCCTAGTTGTAGATTACTACTGAATTGGTTAAGCAATTTTTAGTACTGCTTGTACCAGACTCAAAGCAGCTGCTTTCCTTTCTGACTTCTGCTTACATAAGCAGACTGCTATGTATTCAGAGTTCAGACCCTGTATTCCTAGAGGGGCAAGTCAAGGAAAGACTAGACACAGCTTTATTTTTAGAGCTACATTTGTGTGTGTGTGTGTATGTGTGTGTGTGTGTGTGTGTGTTACTCTGAACTCCAAAAAGAAGACACCATTTCAGAGAGTCAATGAAATGATTGTCTAGTCCATTAATTTGACACTTGCCATAAGTACCAGACAAAACTTGCTCCTGTTAGCCTTCATTTCATTATTCCCTAAATCAAGCACTAATCATTAGTCTTACCTTTCATTCACTAGGGAGTTTGTGGCTTAATTTAATTTTTACCCCTGGCAATTGTTAGGAAAATAAAAAATGAAATGTAGGCAAATTATTACAAATGGGCCAGCAGAAACTAAAAAATACGTCCAACATGTGTTATTATTCAAGTAGATGAGAGTAGGCTGTAGGAGTAACATTTTCACATAACTATGCAACAAGGTCGTATTAGGTCAAATTAAAAAAAATTCAAAATGAAGAAAGAGAATAAGCCACTTAAGAGAAATTTTGGATACCTAATGCCATATTTCTATTCTCATGCAGTGGTTATGGTTGACTGTCCTTTGGGGTTGAGTCTAATATGTGTCTGTTTCTTGCTTTATTGGTTTTTAAATCTTACTTACTTTTTTTTTACAAAAATTTTTTTTAAGATTTTATTTATTTATTTGACAGAGCTAGACACAGCGAGAGAGAGAACAAGCAGGGGGAGTGGGAGAGGGAGAAGCAGGCTTCCCACTGAGCAGGGAGCCCGATGCGGGGCTCGATCCACAGGACCCTGGGATCATGACCTGAGCCGAAGGCAGATGCCTAACAACTGAGTCACCCAGGTGCCCCTTAAATCTTACTTTCAAATCACAAAGTCAAAAAGGAAAAATGAAGTGAATATGTCAGGGATTGTTGTTGCCTAACTAGTGGAAATGTGAAACATGTTTCTGTACCAGAGAAAATTGATTGGCAGTAAATGACGGTGTAAATCCCATATGGACTTTTAAGACTGTAGAGATCTGACCTCTGATTCACAGATGAGTAAACTGAGATCCCAAATGATAAATTAACTTGTCTAGGGTCATGCATATAGTGCTTTACTTTGATTAAATGTTAGTCATGCTTTCATTCTAATATATCTTTTGGAATTGTATCAGTCGTTCATTCATACATTCACAGTTTATTCAACAAATATTTATTGAGCATGTACTATGTATCAGACACTGTTTTAGATGCAAAGAAGAATTATAAGTGGTCCTCTCAAATATTCAACCGTCAGTGACTGCTGATTTCAGGATCCTGTTGGAGTCTATGATTTTCTTAACTTTGAAGATTAAATGAGTTAGCCTTCATAAAATCCTTACACGATACCAAACACATTGAAGATACTTATAGATGTTATTTCTCATTAAAGTCATTATTAGTCACATTCAATTCTAATATTGAAGCAAGAGTTGAACATAATACAAATACACACACTTTTATGTATATACATAACTTCTCATTAAAATAAGTTAACCCAATTTCTAGCTTGTCCGCCTCATTCTTTTGAGAGAATGAGGATGATTCACTTACGTAACTGAAATGGTTTTACTAATATTAAAATACAGCAATTCCAAGAATGCCACATCCAAACTGAATGAGCCTGTTTTCCGTACATTTCTTAGGTTTCTATGCTTCAGTAAAGTTCCCACAGATGTTCAAAAAAGACATGGAAATTAATGGAAGTTCCTTTTTAAAAAAATTCTTAGAGACATCTGGCAAAGATGATTATAATGCTCCAAAGTTAATAAAATAGAGTAGTTTTGCAATGCACCTAAAGCACCAGAGAGAGTACACGTACACACACGCACACACACATGCACGCACACATGCACACGCACACACACCCACACACCCACACACAGAGGTATATACATGAGCTATCAGTTCTTTTATCAAAAGAGGAGGTTGGTGTGACTGAATTACAAACCATCACCCATGGGAAGGAGTCCTACCCCCCATGAGCTCTTCTCCCTTGCCTGTACATCTTAGTGCAAACATGTGGAGAAAAATCCCATAATGGAGAAGTCTCCTAAATTATCAAATGGATCACACAGCAGAGAGGCATATTAGCGAATGTAGCTAGTCTGAACCCAAATGGTTAAAGCAAGCTGCTAAGAACGATATGACTTTAAATCACATTGCTTTTCTATTCCTTGATTTAACACATTTGCAGAATAATAATGGCGGAACAGTCATGTCATATTAAGTACAATTCTAAATGCTTTATATATTGTA